TGCAATTATTTAAATTTATTTCTTTTATATATATTTATATGACAAAAATACTATATATATAATTTTTTAAATTAATTATTCGATTAAACAATTGATCTAGCAACCGGACGGTTGAACCAGTGACCTAGGGACCCGGAAACCTGCTCGGGTCGATTCCTGAGCCGAGTTTAAAATCTATGGCATTTACATATATCGTGTACATTATTTATTATTTTCTTTCTACTTAGATACTCACATATGTGCTCCAAATTTTATTATCCGATTTTAATTTTGAAATTATTATCAACTTTTTATGGGATTTTAAATTTAAAATTATTTTATAAATCTATTTATCATATTTTGAAGGCGGAAAAAAATTTAAAATAATTTGGAATTCCTATATTTAGTAAAAAAAATGTTAAGATGAATTTTTTCTCACTATTTAAGGTATTATTTAGTTCTTTTTATATCGATAGATATATAGATATAAATGCATTTATAGGTGCGATGACATCTATTTTAATATTAAAAAAATCATAGAATAATTTTTTCAATATGATATATAAAACTTGCGATTCAATGAAGTACATTATTTTGTTAAAAAAATGTTTCATCTATTTTTTTTAGCTATAAAGGTTTTATTAAATTTGTCCAAACACTATGTATTTTATATTTTAATGGTTTAGGCTTTATACTTTCACAAATAAATAAATTAATAATTTTATTAATTGATAAACATAATTACATAGTTTAATAAAGACGGTTAATTTTTTCACAACTTGATGAAGATTTCAACTAATATACAAATATAGGATACAAGATTTTCAACATATTACGAAGCTGAAAGTGGAAAGAAGGGGAAAAAATTAAAAGAAAAAAGGTAAAATGATGTAAAAATTACAAAATTATAAAAATAAATTAGGAAGTATGATAAAAGTGAAGACTCACCAGTTATGTGTCTGAAAGTGTGTAATTAATTATATTGAATCGAATTTGAAACACAATTTATAAAAATGAAACATTTTTTTTTTTATTAAATCAATTTTTAAACATTATCCAAAATCAGAAAAAAATCTATTCCCAAAGGATCGAATGGAATAAAAAAAATAGTTACTTTAACTAATTTTTTACTAATTCCTTAGAAGAAGGAAATAAATCTATAGTTATTTTCATTTAAAATTTTTTTGAATTATTTTAGAAATTTCTAAATTTATTAAATTTTGATATGTTTAGGTGAAAATTTACCTACTATATTAGGTAAATTCTTGATCTTATTATATAATAATAGATATTTACCAAAATAGCCAAAAATAAAAAAAATATATAAAAAAGTGAAGGACTACTTTCTCTAACTTTTAAACTAAATTTGCACCACTAAGGGGGTGATTGTTTATTAGTTGTACAGTAATTTTTTTTACTCAAACTCAAATTTAACTCAACTTTAACTCAACCCCACTATCTCCAATATTATTATATAATTAAATAACATCAACAAATCATTATTACATATCACATCAACTTTAATTCACTATTCATCTACTCACATAATTTTAACTAATTTTAACTAACTATCACTTCCAATCATTTTCTCTTACTTTTACATCAAATCAATTTTAACAATTTTATTTTAAATACTATTTTAATATATCCACTAACAACTAACCATACCACTTTTTCTTAAACTTAACCTGTAACACCCCGCCTTACTAGTAATTCAGAGTTGCGCATTTAATTGCAAAGTCTGT